ACCCCTTAGCATTAAAAAAAATAATCACAGGTATTTTTTCAAATTTTGAGTTCAGTGCAACAATACCTTTTGACTGATATTTTTTTAAAAAAATTCGTCAAAAATTGTTAGTTAAAAAGCCGAAATTTGTCTGGAGAAAAACAATTCAACCCAAGCACAGATATTCCATCAGTTTTTTCGACCTATCTCCAATGAATTACCGAGTCACTCAAAATTGTTTTGAGGCAAGCTAATTGACTCAACTTCTAACACCTACTAACTGGCATGGGCTTTTGAGTGAGGGAAAGGTAAAATTTGGATTTCAAATTTTACACTTCATCAAATTTTATATAGCGAAAAACTGTTTGAGATCAATGAAAAAAAGCCGTTATTTTCAGGGCTCTGCCCTGGTATACCAGAAGTTTAGCGTGTCATTTTCTTGAATCGGCTTGAATTTTTGAGGACTCAGTTGTGTCTATTCATGGAAACTCATCCGGCTCATTTGTTCTCATATGAGCGTAGGTGCTTTTGGGTTTCAGATGCCATTTTTATAAAAACCTTTCTGCGAAACAAATATAACGTTCAATAATTTTTTGACATTTTTTTTACTGCTAAAGATTTGATAATCCAAAGGTTATATTGAATATTGCTTTATGACTAATGGAAAGCTTGAGCCATAAATGTAGAATTTTTTGTTTTAATCTTATAGATATAACGTTGGGGACCTTCTAACTCATGAAACCATTCTGCCAAATGCTTGTGACCAACATACGATTTACTGCTAACACGTCGTTTTCGATGTTTCCAGGAAAATTGTTCTTGACGTGGGATGAAAACTTCAAAATCGAATTTTCTGTTTAACTTTTTTTAATCAAAATTTTCTTGGTCTGGAATTTAAGCTTGAGAAGGTTGGAACAAGGAAAAGTTTTGGATGATTCTGCTCTATAACTACAGCTGCTTTTGAACGGATTTATTTTCATTAGACAATAGTACATGTACTGCAAGTTTGTGTTCATGCTTTTTGGATGGAAATTGTGTCCGTTGAAGTAATGATACGACAAGTTTTTTTTGTAACGTATCATTGAGCAACTTCTATTACATGTTCAAAAAGTTTCTAAATACTCTATTGCTAGTTAATATTGTTTGGACCCCCAACCCTTCGTGAAAAAATCCGTCGTAAAGAAATGTTTCGAAAAAGTTAGCCAATTTTTGCGTTTTGCATTCTAACTAAAATACCCGTAAAGGTATATGCTGTTTATCAGCGTAAAGTATAAGTCTTGTTTAATAAACAATAATTTTCTCAACAACAGATATTTTTCGACAATAAAGTTTTAGAACCTATTCTGGTGACCAGACAACGTTTATTTCCATTTTTTTTTTGAGTTTTTTTTTGTTAACCTGTGTGGATTATTTTTTTGATGCTTTGCTTGCAATTTGTGATCAAACCAAAAGTTAGATGAAATCTTCATGGTTTGAAGGGATTAACCGACGCCGTTTAAGACGAAAACTCACACACACAATCTGACTACTTTTTCCGTTTCTTATTAATCTTCTCACGTAAAAATCATTTAGTACCTGAGTTCCTTGTGGCTTGCTGAATAATTCATGATTTTGAAATTTATTTTAAAAATTTGAACCATTTTTTGCACTGATGCTGATGATCAAATATAATATTTTGAGAGTTTTTTCCGCATTAGCAATGTAATGATTTTGAGGAAAGGTAGCTTTTAGTTGGATCGTCTCATTTATTATTCATTTCAAATTTAAATATATGGAAAGTGTTTGCTTATTTTTGGATTTCCTGCTACTATTTGAACTCTATGACGGTTTTATTGATGTGAAATGGCTAAGTTTGTTTGCGGCATGTTTTTGGACATAATTTATTCATCTAACTCCTGGTTTCAAACTAAAATGCTGCTTTTCCATTTTAGGAAAAACTATTTTTCTGAGCTATTCAGTTTTTGCCGTACGCAAAACTTGAATTTTATATCAACCTGCAATTATATTATTATGGAACACTGAAAACATTTTATTACTTCCTGATTCCGTATATAAATAATTCTAACAGAAACTTCCAATTATGTATTAGTTTTTTTTTGCACTTTAATAACGCTGATATTGGTTTTAATCCATTACTATTTTTTCATTCAAAAACATTTTATGCAAAAACATTATTTATTTTTCTATAATACTTCGTTTAGAGTATGAACCAATCGAAAGTCAAACTAAACTTCAAAGATGAGTGGAACAACATTCGAAATAGCCCGCGAGAAATCATTTCATCAAAAGATGGTGAAAACATTTCAAGCGATTCAAAACTACAAATACACCGATCAACTAAACAAGTTTGGGTCGGCCAATCAGATTCGGGAATAACTTCAATGCAATCACCGCCTCCTAGAACTACCATAAACGGAAGTATTACGTCACAACAATCACACGCCAATAAAAAAAATCCAAACAAATTTTCGGTATCTGAACCAGTTTCGGTTTCATCGACGCCGACTAGAATCGATCATAGTTTGAAGTCAAGATGTTTTTCAACCGATCTTAAAGAAGCGAACAATATTTGTATTATTGTCGACGACCTAGACCCATTTCCCCAAAATGAGAATAAGCACAATACTTGCACGGTCAATGAGCCGACAAGACTAACGCCCGACAAAATGAGAGAGACTGATAAAGTGAAAACCTTTGATGACAAGTCGAATTGTTCCCTTCAATGATTCTAAAGAAAAATAAAACTTTATTTTTATAGTTTGAATCTCAGATTTTGAAAGGACATAGCTAAAATGCCCCCTAGAAGTAAGTGCTGCGCCACTATTAAAGAATTGCATGCAGTTTTTGGCAATTTTTTCGGCCTAAAAAAGGCTCTCTCCCTCACCAGCAAAATTTACAGTTAAATTTATAGACCACATTGTCCAATTCTTCCGGAAAATGAGATCTGACAATTTCTGTTTGTTTTTTCAATTTTCAGAAAACTTGGATTTAAAAATATTCAGAAAGTTTGAACTTCCCATTCATGCAGTTAAGTACTGTAAGTGTAGTTTCAGGAGTTCCAAGTCCCAAATCTTGCGTTCAACTGTGACTGCTCAAATGCTCTGAGTTCCCGAGATGTGACGTACGTTTGTTATGTTTTTTGTTAAAATTGTTCAAAGATTTTGAATATCAAATTTTTCACAAAATTTGCAATTCCCATCTTTATAGCTTCTCTACCAGGGTAATCCTAAGGGTTGCAAGTTTTGCCTCCAAAAATCACTGCTCAAATCTTTGATATGACGAGAAATGCGTTTTTTTTTTGTGATTTTTCGAACATTTTTTAGAAAGAGGAAAAGTAAATTTTTTTCTTTAAAATTTGAAATTCTTAACCCTTTCTTGGGCACTGTGAGAGTAATCCCATGGATTACATTTGCTGCCTCCAAATATGACAGCTCAAATCTCTGTACTTTTCTGTGACGTTTGTTGTCATTTTCAGAAAACTGCAATTTCATTGCATTGTTCATGCAAGACCGTTTAACCTCCCTAACTCTAGCTTGCAGCAAACATGGTGTTTGCCACTTTTGTTCGAGTACGATCAGAAGCAAAAAAAAGTTGAGGAATTAAACTTAGAAAAACTGCAAAAAAAACTTCAGGGAAAAATGCTAGTTTTACAGTTTTCATATTTGCAAAATCACTAATCATAGAACTTTCATGCAATTTTCTGATCCTAAAAAACTGCATGAAAACTGTTTGATTACATTTTTCCAAATAACCACTTGTATGAACAGCATTGTTGGTCAACCCTGGTTCCGCTTTCCCGCTTTCTCGCCACGAAGCAAAGATCCCGCTTTCGCGCCTCGAAATTTTGGTTGGTCTGGTTCGATTGGACGTTGCGCGTTACTGCGAGACCTTCATCGATTCATCAGTTGGTTTTGCTCACATACAATTGCATCCAAGCTCCAATCACGCAGAGAAGAAAGAACAACAGAATCAGCTGGTTCATTTTTAGCTATGAAATAGTCTCAAAGTTTGCGCTAGTCTTTATTTTGCGTGTTATAATAATCCATACTATAAAGCAAAAAAAAATGAAGTCCAAATAAAATTATTTGATTAATTTTTTAGGGAAACAAAATGTGCGAGTTAAAAGGGATTTTCTCCTTCTCGATTGACTAAAAACAAAAGAAAATGACTGGCATGGGATAAATAATTTTAACACCACGTTGTATTTTTAGTTCAATATACTCCACATACTTTCCTTTTAAAATGAACGAGACGTAGAAATTTAATTACAACGCTGATCTGTCATAAAGTAAAATGAGGTTCTATTTTTTAGACTAAAATTATAATAGCCAAAAATTAAAGTGCAAATTTTAGACGAAATTAGAAAATAGTTGAAAAACAAATCGTTGCGGTATAATTTGAGTTGACCCAATTATAAAATTAAAAAAAACTAAATTATTACGTATAATATCAAATATTTTAATCATTGAACAATAGATGCAACATGAATTGAAAATATTTTAGACACATGACAAAAGAATAAAACATTCAAGTTTTCTAAAATTCTATAAAAACAACAAATTAGGCCAATGCTTGAACAAACTAGTTGAATTATCATCACCGCAGGCTCATAGGAAGAACGAAACCTTTCTAGCTTTGCTTTAAGCATTCGCCAAACTGGAGGAAGGGCGAGTGTATCGCATCTATCTATTGTTTTCAGTAAAAAACCCATTTTTTTCCGTTTTCGGATAATTTGAATAATAAGCCTGTCTACGACATTTGAACTTTAATCTTTGCCGAACCTAATTTTACCACATTTTTGACATGATTATGGTGCCAAATTAGTAAACTGAAAGACTCAAAACTCAAAAATCAGAAAGAAATCATTTAAAAGCAACAACTAAACTACGATTTGAAATTGGAATCTGAATCACCCAAAAGTATTGCCATTGTCATTGGCGCCCAATAGTTTTTAAAACAAAGAAACCGAAACCAAGGTTTTTTTTTGTTGGAAAAATCAACGAACCCATCCTTATACTAACCAGTCATATAGTTTATTATTTTTTTTTTTGGATTGTAAGTTCCAAAGAAAAAAAAAAAACTCAAAATCATTTTTTTTGTTACAATACAATTGCGAGGGTTCCATGTAATCAAAGGAATTACATATTGGCCATTTACATTTTTGTCTGACACGTCAAAAAGTGAATTAAGTTTAGGAGACAAAGTCAATTAAAAATGAATTCAACCTATGATGCTGTTTTTAAAGTCATAGAAACAGACGTAGAAATTTTAGCAAAAGCAATTAACCAAGCCATAAGCGATTCCGACGAAGTACAGATCATAAACGATTTCTTAACGGAATTGAAGAGCTTGCTTGACGATGCCAATAACGAAGCAGTCAAGATAATACACACCGGAACGGACCAGCAAGACTCAATCATTGAACGATTGAAAACTTTGAAAGTTTTGTACCGAACGATCCAACTACGATCAAAACGATACGAGCGTACCCTCAACAACACTGCCACGTCTTCTTTAAACTCATCACGAGTAGCCAGCAACGTCTCGACGCCTTCAATAATACGACAAGCCTTGAAAAATCTTCCCCTTCGACGCCAAACGGAAAGTTTAACCCGTAGTACCACTACACAAAACGTCACCATAGACCAGGACACCCCGGACGATTTGCCACAATTTTCAGGATTGCCAGCAAGCTTAAACGCTACTTCAAACCACAGATCAAATTCCGCCCAGGACAATTCAGGACTCCTACTTCGCCCCGGATCTAACAGCGACGCCAATACCTTGGATCATCGCATTCATCAACAAAAAACAGAAACTCTTGGAACTCAAACTGCCCATGGAACTCACCTCCATCTTCAGTCAAACCTCTCATTGCAGCAGTCGAACGCCGACTTGTCACAAAGTTCAAACCTTCAGCCGAACCACCCAGAAGCTCAACTTCAAGGAACGACTATAGAATTGAACAATGGAACTCAACTCCAAATCGACAATCAGCAATTGACAGCAACAGTGGGACAAAGACCGAACTCAGAAGCTCAACTTCATGAAACGTCACCACACTCCAACCCTGGAACTCAAATCCAAGTTTTCAATCAGCAGATGAACGCACCAGCAACCCAACAAAGAAATGTTTCAGCGCCAATATTTCTTCCGACAGCAACTTCAAAAGCAGCTCAGAGTCAAATGATTGGACAGCAAATCACACACCCATTTCTTGCTCCCCAGACAGCTAGCCCCCCACATGGACTATACCAGCCTTCAAGCCAACAACAGAACCAGCCTTCAAGCCTACAACAGAATCAGCCTCCAAGTCAGCAACAGAGGACACATAATCCGAATAGCGCCTTTAGACCCATCTTGACGATTGGAAATCAGAATTCAACCAATCATCCCCCCACCAACGTGTTCTGTGGACACCAGACGACAGCTAAGGGTATCACAAACATCAACGGAGTACCGATACCAGCACAACCAGCACTACTGCCAACAAACCAAGGAGATCAACGAACAGCAACAAATTGGACCTCCAGCCAGCCGACCCTGACTCACCAATGTACACAACCTGCCATAAGATCGTACCAGGAAGGATTTCTGGGAACCACGACAGCATACAACCCTACGAACATGCCGACATCATCAACAAAAGCCTTCACTCATGCAGGCTGCAGGGGACCAACAGGATCAACTCACCAAAATATCAACCGACCTCCCCCTCATCAACATGCAGTCCATCAACATGCAGCACATCAACATGCAGCACATCAAAACCAGCCGTCTTATTTTCCTCCGATTCCTGCCAACCTTGGAACAGCACCGACAGACCACACCCATCATCAAACGATCTCGAAGACATTCAGGAAATCAGTGCCCATTGTCAAACCATTCATATTCGACGGAGAACCTGAACAATGGTTAGATTGGATAGGACTGTTCAACGCAACCATCAACAGCACCGACATGACAAACTCGGAAAAGATGACACATCTGCAGAAACTTGTATCCGGAGATGCAAAATCTCTTATCCGAGGATATGGATGCAATGGAGCAATGTATGACGCAGCCCTTCAGCGACTGGAAAACGACTTTGGTAACCCGACGAAGATAGTTACATCCTTCCTTCGACGACTCGACGCCATCAGCGGCCCCAATCTACGACATACCAGAAGCTACAAGGACCTCGCCAACTTCCTACAGACAATGGTCGATACATTCACGACACTTGGATTCCAGCACGATCTACACTCTACGACAAATGTCCAAACAGTTTTGTCAAAACTGCCTACCCCTTGCCGACTAGAATGGAATAGATACAATCTGCAATGCAACATCAGACAACCATCACTCATCGACCTCACCAATTGGTTCAACATCTACGCCGAAGCATGCAGCGATTTGCCGAGCCACAGCAACAACAACAACACCAGAAACAGCAGCAGCAACAACAACTACAACAGCAGCAACACTCAAGGATCATCATCCAACGGTCACACCCACCAACATGGACCATCGGATCACCGCGCCAATCAGAACCACCGGAACCAGCAACGCAGCCAGCAGCAACATAAATCTGGACAAAAGGATCAACGACGAGATTTTTGCCCGGAGAAACGCAATTGCCAGTACCTTGGAAAATGCCATCACTTCATCGCAATGAACCCAAAGGACAGATTACAGCATGCCAGGGACCTACAACTATGTTTCAACTGCCTCAGCCCCCACAAGTTCGCCGACTGTCAATCAACGCAAACCTGCCGGACGCACGGATGCAGTAAGAAACACCACACACTTCTGCACAACAGCAGCACCTACAACTCGACGACACAAAGGGAGACAGCCAACCGGAACTCCAGACAACATGACGACACCACCAACTGCAGCACCAGCATAAACAGAAGGAAATCGACTCGCCACATTCCGACCCTGCCAATAACGATCTCTCATGGCAAACATACAGTTCATGCCTATGCAATGCTTGATTGTGGAAGCAAACTGACATTGCTTAAATCATCAATCGCCCTCCAACTCAAACCAGATCTGCAGTTAGACGACACCATCCAGCTAAACCAAGCACTGACATCATCAGACACAGCTTCTACAAAGATGACGATTGCGATTGGACCCTACAACCAGCAAAAGCAGCCATTTCAACTAAATGACATCGACGTCATAATGGATTGGAACCTTTCCCAATTCAACCCTGAACTCGTCAACTCCATCTGCCAAAGAAACGAGCCTCTTCAACACATTCGGATAGCCACACTGCCCTCGAAAGAAATCGGAATCATCATTGGATGCGATTTCGCCGAACTCGTGACACCTTCAGAAGTAATCCATTCAAAACAAAATGTGCCTATTGGATGGAAAACGCCACTTGGATGGTCTCTCTGTGGACGAGACAATGCAGCGACACCCAACGACATCAACACAATCAACTTCACGACAGACGATAAACTCTTTCGCCACGTAGCTGAATGGATGAAATTGGACGCCGAAGGGATTTCAACTGACCAACGCAGCCTCTCAACAGACGACAAGGAAGCTCTCCGCATCTTGGAATCTTCAACAACTCGCTTGCCCAATGGACACTACGAAATTGTAATGCTTTGGAAACGTGGACAACAACTGCCAAACAATAGATGGCTTGCCAAGAAGCAGCTCGACAGCCTTCTCCGACGACTGAAGAGAAACACCGAGATGGCACAGAAATATCAGGAGACCATCGACACCGACTTGCAGAAAGGTTTCATAGTCAAAGTTGATGATTCCCATGAAGACTCAACAGGAAAATGGTACCTTCCTCATCATCCAGTGACAAACATCAATAAACCTGGCAAGGTACGCCGAGTCCTTAATGCATCGAGCATCTACAAAGGAGTATCACTCAACAGCAACCTACTAACTGGACCAGACCTCCTCACAAACCTTACTGGAATCGTTATGCGATTTCGCGAAGACCAAATCGCTATTTCTGCCGACATTGAATCAATGTTCATGCAGGTCTTCGTGAGCCCAGAGGACCAGCCGTATTTGCGATTTCTGTGGAAGGACAACACGGGCCAACCCACAACCTTCCAATACACCCGCCACATCTTCGGAGCTACCGACTCACCATGTGTTGCCTGCTACGCCACTCGACAATGTGCGAAGGACAATGCCGACAAATATCCAGCCTTGGAGCAAATCACAAAACGCAACATATACATGGACGACCTATACAAAGCCGTTTCAACGCCGACGGAAGCGACACAGTTAATGAACGACCTTCAAAAGATGTTCAGCCTTGGAGGTTTCAACCTCACAAAATGGACCTCAAACTCTCAACAATTCCTCACAACAGTTAACGAGAACCACTTGGAAAACAACGACAGCCTCACCAAGAAGGAACGACCCCTCGAAAGAGTTCTTGGAGTGAAATGGAAACCAGACACGGACGTCTTTCTTGTGGAAGCAAAGAAGTTTCACGCCATTGACAAGAAGGACTTAACGCAGCGCAAACTATTGAAGTTTGCTTCTTCAATCTTTGACCCGCTTGGAATTACGATGCCACTGACAATTCGACTACGACAATCACTTCAACTTGCCTGGAGTAATGGACCTCAATGGGACAAACCTCTAAACATGGATCATTTAACAGACCTCAACGATTGGATAGACAAGCGAAGCCAATTCAACGACATCTGCCTGCCCCGGACTTACTTCAAACCAGAAACGAAGATACTGGAAACCCAACTCCATGTATTCAGCGACGCTTCCGAACTTGCCTTAGCATCAGTTGCTTACCTCAGAATCAGATACGACGACGACACAACGGAACTCAAGTTCGTCATTGGAAAAGCCCGAGTAGCACCCATCAGCAGAATGACAATTCCAAATCTCGAGCTTCAAGCCGCCACTAACGGAGCTAAACTGTCTCGTTTCATCAAAGAACAACATGACATAAGAATCGACAGTACGACACTATGGACAGATAGTACAACAGTTCTTCATTGGATAAACTCGCCGAATCAACGACACCGGATCTTCATTGCCAACCGCCTGAATTTCATCATGGACTCAACATCTCCTCTGGACTGGAGATACGTGCCCAGCAAAGACAACCCTGCAGACGACGGAACACGTGGTTACAAAGCATGTGACATGACTACCGATTCACGATGGATCAAAGGACCAGACTTCTTGTTAAGACCATCATCCGATTGGCCTAATCACCCGCCAACACAACCTACAGCCGATATTCATCTGACAGACAACGACCCACAACCGCCAACATCAGTAATCGACTTCAACCGATTTAGCACTTGGACAAGAGCACTCAGAGTTACTTCATATGTTCTTCTCTTCGCAGAAAACATCAAAAGGAAGACACGCCAGAGCCTCTCACTTCAACACCTCACCTTAGGATTCGCATGGATCATTAAACACTCACAGAATCAATCATTCCCCAAGGAAATAGCATGCCTGACAAAGAAATCTGACATTCCACCCCGCAGCCCTCTACAACCTCTTTGCCCCTTCATCGACGATCACGGATACTTACGTGCCAAAGGACGACTACAGAAAGCCCCGCTTCTACTTTGCAGCCGACATCCAGTCATTCTGAACGCAGAAAACTACCCAATACAACTCTTCATGAAGCAAACACACGAAATAAATTCCCATTGTGGAATGGAACACACCCGAAGCATTCTTCAACAGGACTTTTGGATCATAAGATCACGCAAGCATCTGAAGAAAACTATTCGACAATGCATACCTTGCCGACGCCTTCGACAGGAACCAGTGAAGCCTCTGATGGCAGATCTACCCCTACAACGACTCCCTTTATCGGAAAACAGTTACCCCTTCTACTCAACAGGAATTGACTTCTTTGGACCCTTTGCCACGCGGAACAACGACGAGTACAGTAAGCGATACGTTCTCTTCTTCACCTGCCTCGTCACGCGAGCAGTTCATTCAGAAATATGCCAGCAAATTGACACAAACTCAACTCTACAAGCCATACGCCGTTTCATCGCTAGACGCGGTAAACCCAGGATCATCTTCTCTGACAACGGAAAAGCCTTCGTTGCAGCTGACAAGGAATTACAGGAAAGCCTTTCTGAGATTCAACACAGCAACGACTTCAACAATCAATGCCAATTACTTGGAATAACCTGGAAGTTCAACCCACCTGCAGCTCCTCACTTTGGTGGATCATGGGAACGCCTCATAAAAACATTTAAGATTGCCTTCTACAAAGTCATTGGAACACGGGCACTGGACGACGAAACTCTGTCAACCTTCACGTGCGAGGTTGAAGCTATGATGAATTCTCGCCCGCTAACCCACGTCTCATCAGACCCAACCGACGACGAGCCCCTTACACCCAATCACCTTCTACTAGGACGACCAACAAACAATTTGCCTCCCGGATTGTTTCTCCCTCGCCACACAACGGACAAGAAAACTTGGAAACAAGCTCAAGCCTTGAGTCAACAGTTCTGGAACAGATACCTCAAAGACTACTTGCCAACCTTGACGACCCGAACGAAATGGACAAAGCAAGTGGAAAATCTTCAGCAAGGAGACCTTGTATGGATACTGGAAGACCTAACGCCTCGAGGTCTTTGGCCCCTGGGACGGGTACTTCGTACTTTCCCAGGTGCAGACGGAATCGTTCGCTCCTGCGAAATTAAAACTAGCAGGGGGATTCTACACCGACCAGCAGTCAAACTCTCGCGAGTATTGGACCACAGTAACAACTAGATGACCAACATGATCAACGACAGCTAACAACTAGATGACCATTACAATCAACGACGACGTACCATCAGCTTCAACGAACAATTTTCTAATTTGCAACCTGCAAATGGGCCCGGCTATGTCTACGACATTTGAACTTTAATCTTTGCCGAACCTAATTTTACCACATTTTTGACATGATTATGCCGCCAAATTAGTAAACTGAAAGACTCAAAACTCAAAAATCAGAAAGAAATCATTTAAAAGCAACAACTAAACTACGATTTGAAATTGGAATCTGAATCACCCAAAAGTATTGCCATTGTCAAAGCCAGAGAGAAGGCTTGTTTCGACCAATATTAAGGGTCCAGTAGGCATGCCATTTTTCAAAAATATGAAATGTACGCAAATTAACTTGACGATACTAGACATTCCACATGCAAATATTGATTTGTTTTAATCAAAATTTTAAGTTTTTTTGACAAATCGTCCGCTTTTGGTTATAATACACAAATTTTTAATAAAATCCAAAGCTTAACAATTAGATGAACATAATCTTTCCAAGCCCAGGGGGTAAAAAGGTGAAAAATTTTCTTGCAAGGTTAATTTTATAGGATACAGATATCTCGATTTTTTGATAATCAGCTTGACTGTAATGAAAATAAAATACAAAATGATTTATTGAGGGTAGTGAAATTTTCAAAGAAGCTATGCGCCCTGTTTCACATTCGAACAAAGACAAAAACGCTTTAAGGCTGAATGATAAGTCTAAATTATCTGAAAATTGAATACTGATAACTTCAACTAATTGGACAGATTGAGTTTCGCTTTTTTCGAGTAGCAGAGTCCACAAAACTGGAATTTTTGTGCCATCGGCGAAAATATTTTGAGTAGAAGGCAAACAACGCAAGCCCTTAATTAAACAGAAAGCCAGTATTTTTTCGTCGTGATGTGATAAGAATGGGCGAGTGTCGAAGTTTTTTTTTTAAATCAATTTCCAGGTATGGAAACATCAAAAATAGTTTTTGGCGATGGTAGTAGCACACGATTATGGGCATTAAGCATTCCTCCTCTTATTCTGTAATAATCTTGAAGGAAAATCACTTGAACTCTGCAAGTTTTGCAGCTCGTTAACGTAACTCTTTCTAGGTCGAGTCATTTTCGATTGATCTCAAATTATTTTTGTGCCAAAAAATTTCTGTTTTCTTGTGAGGGGAAATTAGGCTCATGGTTGTGCTCACCTGGTGTTCAAAGTTTTTCGGCCGGGTTTTCAATTGTTACTAGTGTGTGACAATCCGTAACTATGCCCCGCTAATAAATAACTTAAACTGCTTTTTATCTATATCCATTCTCAATTCAGTCTCTATTTTTGATGGCTAAATTCTAAACATGATGCAGCCTTTTGAATAGAGGAAAATGCAATTGTTTGAGAAATAAAACTTTTGTTTTCGCCTAAGACATTTTTCGCCCAAACTAGCCGCGCCCAATTAAAGTAGCTGGTAAATTGTAATTTTTCTCATTTTACTTAACTCTAATATTATCTGGTTTGTCATGAAGAAAAATTGAGGTGAGTACTTTTGATTTGTTCACATAGCAAGGTTTCAGTGCGATACAACAACGTCAAAATTCAACTACATGTATATGGGTGTGAGTGAGTGATAGGCGTTTGTGTGGATGGAATGGGCCGAAGAAAAAAGCGTTTTGGGATCGGCTTAACAATCTCCCCCGTTTCAAGAAGGGGGATTGTTTATAAGATTAAAATAGTTTAACTTTAGACCCAATCAGAATGCAACAAAATTCGAATTCTTGATACAATCTCTAGAGCTAACTTACTGTATTTATTTATAGGGTTGGAGATTCTTAAAGAGATACTATAGGGGTAGGGGGATCGTTAAGTAGATCCGTTTTTTGGTAAGTTTGATAAATTTGACTAATGTAAGAACTGTTAGTTTGATCGTGTACTTCAAATAAAACCTCTAATAGACTCTGCCAGGTTTTTCAGAACGGTTAAAAGTTTAGACTTTCAGTCAAAAAGCAGGCGGAAGGAAATTTATGAAAGCTTAGAGGAAATTTAATAAAAGGCCCGTACCCAGGGGATTTTCTGTGCAAGATCTGAGATTCTTTATTTCTTACATAAGTTGATTCTCAGATCTGAAATTTTTTTTATTTCAGATCTTGATAAGAATTTAAAGTTCAGATCTGAAATAACCTTGAAACAGAAAATTTCGGATCTGAAATCAGATCTGAGAAATCCTTTGTTAAATTATAATTTATGCATTTCGAGCAAAAAAAGAATTTTTATTTTTTGATTTTTCTGCAATATACAATTATGTTTAGATTAACTAGCGGTCAGAAAAACTTCCGAATACTTCCAAAAACTGTTTTTTTTCGAACTAAATTTCTTGTTCAACTGTGTTAAAAAATTTTCAAAAATTGTTAGACCTGTTACATTTTTGGTGTTCATGCGCTACTTATGCGTTTCCAATGTTTATCTCATGCTTGGGGAAACATACTTCGGAAGTCTCTAACTTGAGACTTCGCTGAGTACCTGCTAGTAGCTCGCAGACGCAAAAAAAAATCAAAAACAGTAAAAATTGAGTCCGAATCGTTGAGTTTTCAGATCTGAAATAAGCAAGAAAAAATTAAATTTTGGATCTGAAGTAGATTTTTTCAGATCTGAAATAACAAAGAAAAAGAAAACTTCAGACCTGAATTTAGATCTGAAATAACCAATCCTTAAAGTATCCAAGCGTTATTTAAACATTTCACAACCTATTTCAGATCTGAAATTTAGATCTGAAAAATATTATTTCAGATCTGTTTTAGAAAATTTACTGGGTACGGGGGCTCATATCGAAAATTTTGAACAGTTTCCCGAAAAAAAACTTTCAAACATTTCTAGATAATACAGTTGAAATGTAACTTAAAATGATGTTTGCTGCTATCCCTCGAGTTAAAATTTGCCAATTTGCCAGTCAAACGTTTCCTAAGGACTTTTCTAACATCCATCTTAGAGATAAAAAACAGTTTACAGACAATTTCTTATGTCTGCCTTAGTTTTTTCGACAAGGGAAGAGTATGAAAAGTTGTTATTTCACGTTTCCTTTTTGTGTCTTAAAATAACAGGAAACGCGAATCGCAAAATCTACAAAAAAACTTCGCTCTTTTCAAATGTTTCACCCCATTGTAAAACAGATGAAAAAATGTTTATAACATTTCTTACATGAAAATAGCCATATGACAATTTGTTCACCAGTTCGTGCCAATTTACGAGGGGGTTGGGAAACTGGAAATAACGGAGTTTTTATGGCAATAAGCTTGTTCGAAGAATGAATCAAACTTTTCTGCACAAGGAAATTTATGCCTGTTCAAACTTTCAGTGATGGAAATTGAAAGTTGGAAGCTAAAACATAAACAATCTTATAGCAAAAGCTTTGTACAATTTTCCCAAAAAAAAACACTTTCAAACACTTTTTTACTGATAAATTTAAAACAGAGCTTAGGTTTTTACTGAATTCAAAAACTTTGTTTCGTTTGCTAATTTCGCTGCAATTTTCGTTCCGTTGCTGCTTCCTCTTTTTGGTCTACGTTGTATGGTCTAATTATGCAATTGTCTCGCATTGCGGCATTTTGTAAATGCAGCTCTATTTTTCAACCCCTCAAAAAGTCACAAAATGAAGTTAATTGAAAATGTTTATCTGGTACTGCATACATATGATATAGTGACATATCCTATTTTCACTTGAATTTTACATTTAGTACAATTTAGAATATCAAAAATTGTTTGAACATCAAGTTCGTACATCAAACTTCAGAAAAAATAATAAACAAATCGGAAAGATTTCAAATTGAAAACGTCTTGTATTTGTCCACAGCAAAAGTCAAGTTGAATGGCTTTTTTGAAGAAACTTCTCTGCAAATACTGAAAGAGTAGACATTATATTATTTAAAAACGGTAAAAACTGACAGAATTTTTTTTATTTATACAACAGTGATTTTTATGATTTGTTCCAATTCATAACTTGCAAAGAAGCTAAGCAAGGCAAATAAAGTCAACAAGAAAGCTCGTATTAGGGCGATGCCCTGAATGTTCCGACTGCCTAATAAAGTTTTATGGATCAGTAAAAACATTAAAAAAATTAATGTAATAAAATAGAATGACTTTTTTTTCTAAAATTTGAAATTTTTTATGAAAATCATTCCCCACACGCCATATAAAGTACAAAAGGATAGACTTCGCTCTTGTAACAAATCAATTATAGTAAATAAGCTTCTTTCAACCAATTTGGAACAATTTTAAGACGGATTAACTCTCCCCTTACGCGTTAATAACGCGAAATATATCGCGCGTTTATTGTCCCAAATTGGCCAAAATGGCAATCTTTAAACTCCCATAAATTTACGAAAAATGATCTTAGGTAAAATATTTGGCTCATTTTCCTTTTCCCCCACTCACGCTAGTTTCAACTTATTAGTGTAACGAGTGGTTTTACGAGGTTGAGTATTAAGACCAAATATGTTTGTCGTGGCCTTATCAGTCTGTATGTAAATTTTCATAACAATCGGACAATGTGGTCAACAAACTTACATGTAAAATTTTGCAGGAGGGGGGAAACGAAAAGGAGCCAAATATTATTTCAAGTTTGAGCTCAGGACAACAATACCTTTTTAATGATATAAAAAATTCCGTCAAAAATGGCTAGTTGAAAAGTCAAATTTTGTCTGAAGAAAAAAAACCCACCCTGAGCACAAATATTCCGTCACTTTGGTATCGAAAGTCGGAACAAAAAATGTAACAAACTTGCTTTGTTTGGGATTAAGACCAATTCTTAAGAGTTCCTTACATTGTTTAAAGGTAATTTTATGATGCAAACGAAGTTGACCGGTATTTTGGAGCTCAAATTTCTTTTAAAGTTTTGGGGACCTCAGCAAGTTTCAGAGACCAATTAAAAAACAATTTTTTACTAACATTAAGGCGGTCATTTTAACGGCTGGGAAAAACCCATTTTTCGATTACTTCGACA